TGATTCAGTAGTTCTGGAATGGGACCAAGATTCTGCATTTCAAACAAGTTCCCCGGGTGATTAGAATGGCTGTCAGGCATCAATTACAATGTCCACCTTAACTATCAGGCACACCTGACATTTACAGTAGCTGAGGAATGCATTTTTTTTCCTTGTAGGTGAATATACAAGAGAAGCCAATTATAATCAGAAGGTGCCTAATGAGCAAAGCCAGATTGCAAAGCATGTGTGAAGGCCCAGAAGCAAGAAACTGCTCACGCGCCAGGTGAATCAGGAGCTGGAGGTAGGCGGAGTCAGGTCACTGAAGGGTTGGACTTTGATCTGAATTCTGCAGAGCACAAAGCCTTGAAAAGAGATTTACCAGGAAGAAAAGTCTTCCGTTGTTAAATTTGTTTGGGAAGTCCTGTACACACTATGTCCCTCACTTGCATATTTACAAAGCATAATTTGTTTTTAAAGATACTAAGAAGGCTTTTGTCAAATAAAGATAATACCTCATAAACAGTACAGGTTATATGATTTATGGAGCCCAGTGCAAAATGAAAATTTATCTTTTTCCTATTAAGACTTTCTGGAAGGCGATGACAGAGCATTAAACCAATTGTGGAACTCTCCTAAAGCTTCTAAAGCTTCAGGCCTTGTAGGACTGCACAGGTCACATGCCGGTGAAGCTGCCCTGTTCATGGGGATATTGGGAGCATTAAATGAAATAATGTATGAAAAGTGCTTTAGGGGCACCTGGGTGGCTCAGTGGGTTAAGCCTCTGCCTTCAGCTCAGGTCATGATCTCAGGGTCCTGGGATTGAGCCCCACATGGCATCAGGCTCTCTGCTCAGCAGGGAGCCTGCTTCTCCCTCTCCCTCTCTGCCTGCCTCTCTGCCTACTTGTGATCTGTTTCAAATAAATAAAATCTTTGGGGCAAAGAAAAAAAAGTGCTTTAGTGCTTACCTACTGTTAGCACCACTACCAAAGCTACAGTTGGGTGTCAAGCCTGGAATCACCACTACCAAAGCGGCTACCAAAGCTTACATCCTGTAAGCACTAAATAAATAGTAAGGATGGTTTTAACACAGCTTTTAGTTAGGACTCTTGGTTGTAATAGAAACTGACTTCATTTAGCTTAGGCAAAAAAAAAGCAGAATTTGTTAAATGATCCAGGAATGTGTTTCAGAATCCAAGGGTAGAAGCTGCTAGCAAGGTACAGGAAGAAAGGGCTCTCCTTTTCTCTCTCAACTCCAGTTTTCTTTATGGGTTCCTTGTCCACACTGTGGGAAAAATCAGCCCAGAGGTGCCAGGTTCAAGAGACTTCCCGGAGGGATACTGGGGTCTCTTAGTCCTAATTCCACATGGGGAGGGCTCTGATGGCTCCATCAGTTTTCACCTGGATTAGGCAACTGTACATAAAGACTCTTCAGCTGTTATCAGCCCAGTGGAAGGGGAAGAAGAAGGCAACATATGTGCATCTCAGTGTCTCCCATACTTACCTGATCATGAGACATTTCTTGAAGGAACATCTACTAGTATTGAATAGAACATACTCAGGAAATGCTGTTGTGGGTGATAGGAAGCAATGGAATGGTTAAAGGAGAGGCAAAAGAGCCAGGAATCAGATGTTCATTTTAGATAGCAGGGAGCAGAACTGACTAGACCAAACAAGACTGAACACAAGAAAGCAAATTAAGAGCTTGCTCTAGATATCCAGACCTGAGAAGCAAGGCTAGTATTAATGAGGATATACTAGGAAAAACCGTTTCCAGAAATATTTGGGAAGTGAAAATTCTATATGAGGAGAAATGTATAAGAGAAACAGACAAGGATGTATCAACGGACTAACTTGGGGTACTCAATCGGTTGTGGTATACCAACTGTTGAGCTAACACGAGAATTGGGCGATGGGTCTAAGTTGTTTTTGTTTGGTGCCAGGAAGAATATTCAGCTGGAAATATCTAGAAGCCTGAAATGTGGGCCACAGGTAAAAGTCTTGAGGCAGATTCAGATGTCACATGCTTTCAGTAATAATTAAAAACCGATAAGTTCAGGCATTCAACATATAATCTTTGAACACTACTATGGCCCAGGCCCTGGGGGACACACACACACACACACGCGCGTGCGCGTGCGCGCGCGTGGATAAAAGACTCATGGTCCTGCAAGCCCATCATGGAGCTTACAGTCGCCCAGGAAGAAAAATTACAAAGCACTCCTTTTCAGAACTACAGAATGTCAGAGAGTTGTGCCAACCATGGAGAACAACACAGTGCCGGTGCCCCTACCACATGACGGCTGTGTGACAGGGGCAGACTACGGTTGGGTCTCAAGCCTGGAATCATCACTACCAAAGCCACGGGGACAGGACGACAGCGCGGGTTCCGTCTCTAACTGCTGCGGTGGGGGATCGGGGTGCGGACCAGACAGTGCACTTGGCATGCGCGGGTGATGAAAAATAGGGCGGCGAGTGAGAATTACTAGCCCAGTAGAACGACCTGGGTCTCCTTTGTGTTTACCCCGGCCAAGCATTGCGGGCCGTAATGTGCTGAGCTGGGTCCACTTGCCCAAGAGGCAACTAGAATGACAGTCCACTTTAAGGGGTTCACTTTTCCACCCAAAATGCGTCTCCATCGTCTTGTTGCGGGGAGAGGGGGAGGATGAACCCTAAGGGCCTGGATTACTGCCCGGCTCCTGTGGGTGCCAGCACCCCAGAAGCGAAGCTCGAGGAGTACTGCACGGTCACAGGCAACTGACATCCGCACAGGCAGCGGCGGAGAACAATGAGCTACCAGGAAGGAAGCGGAGGGTAAGCGAATTCGGAAGTCGAGGCTGCACGCGGGAAGACAGAGGCGAACGCGGCGCTCGGCTACACCACGCCTGCGCCAGCCGAGGTCCCGCGCGCGTCCCCGCCTGGCGCAGCCGCCGAGCCTAGCACCAGCTGCGAGCCCGCAAGGTGAGGGCGGGGGAGCGCACGCCTAAGGGACGGCCGAAACGCTCGAGCGCAGAGAGCGTGCGCACGCGCAGAGCTCCCGCCGGCCGGCGCCAGAAGCGCGGGAGAAGCGACGGAAGCCACTGAGAAGAGCCGCACGTCGGTGAGTGCTCCCCCCCTCCCCTTTCTCCCGGAGTGCCTTGCGCGCGGCCGGTGGGCGGGGGGGGAGGGGAGGGGAGGCGGCGGTGGCAGCCATGTTGTTGTGAGTCTCTGTGTCTCACCCTCGGTACTTCGGTGGTTCGGAGGAGGAGGGGGAGGAGAAGGAGGAGGTGGGGTGGGGGGGAGGGAGGTAGGTGGAGAAAGAAGATCTTGCCGCCACCGAAGGCGGAGGAGGGAAGGACGGCCAAGAGCGACGCCGCCGTGTGCCCAACGGTCGGTGTCTCCGGCTGAGGCAGCGCGGCCGCAGCAGCCCCGTAAGTCAGTCCGCGTTTGCTCCCTCTCCCCGTGCTCTGGCGCCACAGAAGCTGGCTTCCCGGGCTTTGTGTGGCCTCTCGGCGGGAGCAGCTCGCAGGGCGGGAGGGCGGACGGGCCTGGGGGAACCGAGGGCAGCTGCGGCCTGGGGCCCGGGCCCCGCTCGCACAATGCGGGGGGAGGGGTGCCGGAAGGGGGTGTGCGCCCGGCGCGGGGGAGGGTGCTGGGCTCTCCCGCTTCCTTTCCTCCCCCACGCCACTGCCTTGCGGCGCTGGGGGGCCCACCGCAGTAGTCCTGGGTTTCTCCGCGCTTGGGGTTAGGGACCGAGCTGTCCGTTCAGCCCACGGTCGTTAAGAGGGGTGAGGCCGGTAGATCCAGAGAAGTGTGCGAGTTGGAAGTGGGCGAAGAGGAAGGAGTGGGTTTATGAAAACAAATGTGGGAATTCTTGGGGGCCCGAGTGTGTCCAGGAAAAGCTTTCGGCAGACAGGTGTGGATATGAAAGAAACAGCGACTTGGGTTAGTTAGACTCGTTAGGTGCTATTATTAAGGAATGTTACGTTACTGGAACAGGCTTTGACACTCAGATATATAAACTAAAATGAAAGGAAAGATTAGAGGCTTCAGACATTTTAGCAGTAGTTTGTTTGGGCCAAATTTGCGGATAATTGTTCAAAGTTTTATCCCAAACGCTTGTAAAAGTTAGGCTGCTTCTGAGAACAAGCTAGGGAAAACCCATATTTCTTAACTTAGTTTTTCATTCTAACACATATTTAAACATCATGAGGGTTAGTATTACGAGCATAGTAGGTGTAATAGACAGTAATGTCAGTTAAAATCAGGATTTCGGGTATTGTGAGATCTTAAGAAAAGTGGTTTTTGGGTTTTTTTCGGTAAAGGTTTTTAGAGAAAGCTTTATTCAAATGCTTTTAAACGCTTAAGAGAACTGTAATATTTGTAAAGGTATATCAAGAAAACAATTTTAATAAAGGGAGTTACCTAAGGATTTTAAAAGCTTGTTTACTGCTTAGATTTCGTGTTTAATAGGTGACTCACCATGTGACCTGGAGTATCGGAGGACAATTTAAGGAATTCTGGCTAGAAATCTTATTTAGAATACAATGACAAATATTTTTAATGGGCTTAAGTTTCTGTTCTTATTCTTTTAATACTTTTTTTTATAGAGGATTTGCTTCATCTGCACAGGCATAGTGAATAGTTGTTAATATTTCCCTTTGCATGAATGTCTTTTAAAGTTCAATTTTTGGTGAACTTTAGTTATTTAGAATTGTCTTTTGGTGTCCTGAAGGGCGGTTTTTGTACCCAGTAAAGGCTTACACTGATTTAAAAAATTAGTTGTATTTCAGAATCCTGGTTCTTAAGCTTTTTAAGTTCTTTTTTTTATTTGTACAAGTCTGGCTGTTAATCTTCAAGTTAAATTTGCTATTAACAAACTTGAACATCTTCAAGAAAATTGAAACTGTTTAATTTTTATACGTAGTTTTCTTAATTTGAGTGTAAAGTTCCCTTAGACGTTTTAATATTTAGTAAGGTTTCAGCTTAAAAGTATAAATTACTGCCATGTTTAAATTGGTCTTACAAGGTTGTCCACTTTAATAGACCAACTTTTCTTTGGCATTCCAAGCATATAAGTCAAACTATGCAGTCTCAACAAAGATAATACTAGGATTTTGTGTCCCTTAAACCTTCCATATTTGTTTATAAGTCCTCCTGGTGTTGAAATAATAATTTGTCTTCCTGTGTATGTACTTAGCAGGAGCAACTATGATCAGGGATTTGGGCCAGGTGTGACATCCAAAGCCAATCTGGCCAGTGACCAGATAGTCTTGCTTTTTATGGATATTGATAAGATCTTCATAATTTCAAGTGGAGGTTGGTTCCTGTCTCCTGGACTCAGGTTCTTTAAATTTGTTGGATTTCTAACAGAGCAAAATACTCGGTATTTTTTTTTTCATGTTCTTAAGATTTAGGATTATTTTAAATACCTGAATTTAATACCTGGCTTGAATTCATAGTTTGTGGCTGTTTTACTGGTAGGTGTGTGATTAATATAAAAATTGTACTAATTAATAAGTTGGTTTGTGATGTATTAGGTAGATTTCTTGCTATTTTTGAGAAGGTATTAAAAATAGTGTGGCTTGGCCCCTCTTGTCCCGCTTTTTTCACTCTAGCCTGATGAATTTGTAAGAAGGAACTGGTAAGAGTATGGCTTAGCCTCTTTCCTCTCTTTCTCTTTGGAAGTCTGCCCCCTGCAGAAAGGGCTTTGTTCTGCTTCTTGAGGCCGCCATGATAGACTGCCCCTTTTTGGAGGACCATCAGTTGACCAGTGCTATCTGTGACCAGTTTAGGATAATTAAGGGGCGTGGTGGTAGGAACCCCTTTGGGTTTAAATTAGTCATTTGATTGTAGCTTGGTCAGTAAAAGGAGAAACTTGAGTTGCTGTCAGTCTAGTTCTGTGTCTCTCACTTCTGAATTCTGATGTGGTGGAAAAAGTTTCCCTTCAAACCTCATTATTTAGGAGCTAATATTTTTTTAAGATTTTATTTATTTATTTGAGAGGGAGACAGAACATGAGCAGAGGGAAGAAGACAGAGGGAGAAGCAGACTCCACACTGAGCAGGGAGCCAGATGCCGGACTCGATCCTAGGACCCTAAGATCATGACCTGAGCCTAAGGCAGACGCTTAAGACCAACCCACTGAGCCACCCAGGTGCCCTAGAAGCTAATATTTTAATAATGATATTTATATTTAGGAACATAGATGGACCTTTTTCACTTAAAATGTATGGTTTCTGTAGTGGGAAAATGAATTTTTAGAGATTACTTTTGAAGCCTTTCCAATGAAACAGTATAGAAGTAGTACATAGGTAGGTTCATAGTAAATGCTTTTTTCTTCTCAGAGTTTCAGGTAGCGGTATGTTACCAGACAAAAGGTTAGTGTATTTTTTTCCTTAGTGACTTTTTTGTCCAACTCAAAAGATCAGCTTCTTTATAAATGAAAAGCTAAAACTTGTCTAATTAAACAGTGTCACCTTCTAGAGAGTCATTTTATTTATTTGTCAGAGAGAGCAAGCAAGCACAAGCAGGGGAAGTGGCAGACAGAGGAGCAGCTGGTTCCCCATTGAGAAAGGAGCCTGATGCTGGACTCAGTCTCAGGACTTTGGGATCACAACCTGAGCTGAAGGCAGATGCTGAACTGACTGAGCCACCCGTGCGTCCCAAGTCATTTAATTCTTAATGAAATTGTGGACTTTTTTGTCTTCCCTTGACTTTTTTTGTGGGGGGAGATTTTATTTATTAATTTGACAGAGGGATAGAGGGAGCTCAAGTAGCAGAGGGAGAGGGAGATGCAGGCTCCCCAACAAGCAGGGAGCCCAGTGCGGAACTGGGTCCCAGCCAAAGGCAGCAAAGGCAGATGCTTGACTGACTGAGCACCCAGGCACCCTTGTTGACCTTTTTTTTTTTTTTTTTTTTTTTTTTTAAATTTCATTTATTTATTTTGACAGAGAGAGATCACAAGTAGGCAGAAAGGCAGGCAGAGAGAGAAGGGGAAGCAGGCTCCCCACTGAGCAGAGAGCCTGAGACCCAGGGTCTCAGGTCCTGAGTCCCAGGACCCTGAGACCATGACCCGAGCTGAAGGCAGAGGCTTCAAGCCACTGAGCCACCCAGGCACCCCATGTTGACCTTTTTCTTAAATGAAGTTTTACTTGACTATTTCCTGGCTCCTTTCTGTATTTTTCTAAAGTGCTTTAAAGAATTTAAAAAGTATGGGCTGTTCAAGCACATTGGTAAAGTCATAGTTTCTTTAGTATATTTCACCTCTGCAAATGTAGCTACTGTAATCCCATCCATTTTTAGTTTACATATTATAGATTTTTACTTCTTATTCACTTACTATTTTCTTTTAGGGAGATAAAAGATGTTGGAGTAGAGTACTAGAAAAATGGAGTAGAGTACTAGAAAAACATACAAATGGGTACACCTTATGTTCATATCTCAGGATTTCGCTGTAACTGCCAAGCACAAAAAAGGGGAAGAAGTGTGAAGGGAAAGGGGTAGGTAGTACTTGGAATGTTAGAATACTTTGGACTGAAAATGGGATAGGGAAAGAAAAAAGGCAGTCATTATTGCTTACCTACGGTGAAAGGTAACATTTGAACCACAAAATTTGCATTCCAGGAAGGGATTTGGTGAAATTGACTATAAAATGACACCACAAAACCAAAAACAGAAGATAGATTTTTGTGATTTTTTTTTTTTTTTTTTTAACATACATTTATTTGAGAGAGTGAGAACACACAAGGTGGGGGGCGGGCAGAGAGAATCCTCAAGTGGACTCCCTGCTGAACATGGAGCCCAGTGTACTGCTCCATCCCAGGACCCTGAGGTCATGACCTGAGCCCAGATCAAGAGTCGGTGCTTCATCAACTGAGCCACTCAGGCACCCCAGATCTCTGTGATTTCTACTGTATCTGTCTCATATAAAGAGCTCTAGATCTCAAGGTGGTGATCTTGTGATTTTAGGCACTGGTTTTGAAAGACTTATTTAGGGATCAGTGGAATATTGTCTCAACTGTGTAAAATGCAACTGGTTTTATTCATTCAGACATTAAAAAAAGGTGAATAAGTAGTAGAAATAAGCTGACCTTAAGTATAGGTCTTTGCTAGGCAGTTAGATAAGGCAAATTGTAGGTAGAGAAAAATATGGATGGTTTTGTCTGATTTTGTTAAATACTAAAAATTATATTTTTAGTATTTAGGTAGGAGCCACTCGTGTTTTCCATTTTGGTGACCAGGTCATTTATTTCCATCTATTTAGTATCTGTCAGAACTTTGAAGTTTGAGTAAATGTAAAACATTAACTTTTCTGTAGTACAGTCTGAATCTTTACAATCTGATATAAATAAGATTTGAAATTTTGAGAAGATGATAGCTGAAGTTTTCCCTGGAGATGTTTTCTTGGACCACCTTGCAGTTGAAGTATAATAGATTGCTGAAAAGGGATCCAAGGGAAAGTATTAACGTCCCTTTGTTCACTCCTACACTAGTAGAAAGGGGAGTACTATGTCTAGGAACTTGTCAAAGATAAATTGTTTGCTAGTTTTTATTGTAAGTCTGGTTGAGAAATAGTCATGGATTATTATTTGAGGAATATTCAGTCCCATTTGTTACTCTGGATGTTCTAAGTTTTATTTTCTCATCAAGGTAGACTACCAGAAACTTGCACAATATTTTTGAGATTTGTAGGCCTTTGATGTGCCAGACTTTATTTTTTTTCTTTATCATTTTTTAAAAGATTAATTTATTTGAGAGAGAGAGAGACACCACAAGTAGGCAGAGAGGCATGCAGAGGGAGAGGAGTAAGCAGGCTCCCTGCTGAGCAGAGAGCCTAATGCCCAGCTTGATCCCAGAACCCTGAGATCACGACTTGAGCCGAAGGCAGAGGCTTAACCCACAGAGCCACCCAGGCACCCCCAGACTTTGTTTAGATATCGGTGGTACCAGGTCCTTGTTATTGAGTGTAAAAAAAAAAAAAAGACTTGGAGAAATGAACTTAGTCAAGGGATAGGTGAAATGGCTTCATCGAGAGGGATTAGTGTGGGTAGTGACCCTGATAGGGGAGAATGGCAGAACTTGACATGGAAGTAGGGAAAATTGAGAAGATATGACTGGACAGGGCGCCTCTTTGGCTTAGTAGGTTAGGCATCTATCAGCCTTCTGCTCAGGTTGTGATCCGGGGACCCTGGGATTAAGCCCAATGTAGGGTAGCCTGCTCAGTGGGAGCCTGCTTCTCTCTCGGCTTGTGCGCTCCCCCTGCTTATGTGCATGCACGCATTCTCCCCTCCCTCAAAAATTTCTATTTAGGGGCGCCTGGGTGACTCCTTTGGTTAAGCATCTGCCTCAGGCTCAGGTCATGATCTCAGGGGTGTGGGATCAGCCCCATCTTGGGCTCCACGCTCAGTGGGGGAGTCTGCTTCTCCCTCTCCCTCTTCGCGTCTCCACCCCTCGTGCTCTCTCTCTCTGCCTCAAATAAATAAAATCTTCAAAAAGATTTTTATTTAGGGGGAGCCTGAGTGGCTCAGTAGATTAAGCATCTAGTCTTGATCTCAGTTCAGGTCTTGATCTCAGGGTTGTTGTGAGTTCAGGCCCTGAGTTGGGCTCCATACTGAGCTTGGAGCCTACTTTAAAAAATTTTTTTTAGACTTAAATGCATATAAGTTTTATTTAAATTCTGCTTAGGAATATTTCTTCAGAGGCCCTTTTTTGGTAAATAATTTAGGTAGTCCTCAAAACTTAACAGATTTGGTTTCTCTTTTCAGACATTTGTTTGAAATGTCTGAATTTCTAGGCATTTGTTTTTTAAAGTTATTTATTTATTGTTAAGGCTTATTTATTTATTTGGCAGAGATAGAGAGTGCACAAGCAGGGGAAACCAGGCAGAGGGAGAAACAGACTCCCTGCTGAACAGGGAGCCTGATGCAGGACTCAATCCCAGGACCCTAAGATCAGGATTTGAACTGAAGGCAGACACTTAACCAACTGAGCCACACAGGCAACTCGGAAAAGATTTTTAGACTTCCAACATCTTTAAGAAACTGATTAGGTTAAAAAAGAAAGAAAGAAACTGGTTAGGTCATCTCGCTTCAAGTTATTGGGAAAAAATTAATCACCAGTTGAAGGCTTGTTCATGAATATTTGAGGGATTTTAAAAGTCACAACTCATACTTATGACCTAAAAGATTACTCTTATTTAATTGAGACGTTTGTACAGCTCATATATTTTTTTTCATAGACTATCCATAGTAGTCATCACAGACTGAACATATTCTAAAACTTAACTGTTGTAAGTTGTGGCTTTTCCTAGACAAAAG